ACAGACTCAAGGAGACCTGAGATGGGACTTGTGCTGGACCTCAGAAAGATACACTTACATGGCAGAGCCCTTATGAAGAGAATGGAAAAGGAGCAAGGTTTGGGGGTATCTCTATAGAAAACTCTACAGAACGATTGCTGTCCACCCATCTCACATCATTTTCTTCACTCAGTACCCAGGGACTTCGTTCTGTTTGTTTATTGTTGTTTTATGGATGCGAGAAATTTTTTAAAGCATTTACTTGTCCCAATTATAACTTTTTTTAGGGGATCTTTCAGAACATTGCACTTGATGGTGAAAATGTCTGTGGGGCCACTGTAGGTGGAAGGCAGTTTAGTCACGGACTCATAGGCTGAGGTGGGACTGTTGGAGTTGGCTTTGGACTGTGAGAATGAGATGTTGAGGTCATTGGAGGTAGCTCAGGGAAATGTTGCTTCTTGCTGAATTGGATGTGGTCTGGGCCACTGGAGTTTTGAGTGTAGACTGCCAAATTGGTAGTGGATATCGCACTGCCTGCTCTGTTATTTCAATAAAGAAGTTGTCTACCATAATCGTGAAGGCAGTGATCAGGGATGTGATGCAGAACTGCTGTCCTGCTGTGCTGTTCTACTTCCCTTTCCTGCCATTTCAATGTGAACTCAGAGGAATTACTCTGGCAAGTGAACCTGACTTGTAACGAGACCTGCGAAGTAGAGATCTGGTTCTCTGCTTTACAAATGGGTCACCCTGATTTCCCTTTTTTCTGAGACAGAATCTCGCTCTGTTGCCGGGGCTCGAGTTCATTGGTGTCATTGTAGCTCACTGCATCCCCAAACTCTGGGGCTCAGGCAGTCCTGCTTGTCTCCTGAGTTGCTGGGACTACAGGTGTGTACCACTAAGCCCAGCTATTTTTTTTTTTTCTTTTTGTAGAAATGGGTCTCACTACCCACCTGGCTGGTCTTGAAACCCTGACCTCAAGTGATTCTCCTGCATCAGCCTCCCAAAGTGCTAGAATTACAGGTGTGAGCCACCATACCCGGCCCACCTTAATTTTTTAACCCTGCTCATGTGTCTTTTATTATCTGCCACAACAAAATATCAGAACTCAGTTGAAGTGTGATCAAAGTTGAAATATAAAATGTTTTGCAGAGTGCTAAAATTTTGGTATTGTATTGTTTCTGTCACTTACTGCCTTTGTAGCCTTGAGCAAGTTTTTTAACCTCTCTGTGCCTAAGTTTATCAACTATAGATAGTAAACAAGGATAAGTGCTCTCATAGATGTGAAGATCAAATGGGCAGTACATGTGTCGTGATGTATGCCTGACATGTGCCTATCATTTAATAAATGATAGCTGTTATTGTTGCTACCACTATTAATAGCAAAAGGATAAATTGATTTTATATGCTGTTTTTAAGAGCACAATCATATGTAAAGCATGGTATATTTTTTATTAATTTCAGACTTTAAATTTTTTTAATGAATTATGTTACCGAGTCAGTATCTTTGGAGGATTAAAAGAACACAAAGAATGAAAGACTGGGAGTACCCTTCAAGATCTGTTAGTACAGCCTCATTTTACAGATACAGAAACTGAAGCCCACTGAGAGGAACTGCCTTTCCCAAAGTCATACAACTGGTTAGTGGCAGAGGTACGACTAAACATCAATGTCCTGACTCCTGTTCCTTTAAAGAGTGACTTAGCAATCGTTCTTTATAGTTGGCATAGAAACCTCGCTTTCAGGTCACGTTACTTAAAGCCAACCATTGTAAAGATGACAGCTTCACATTATAGAATGAGTCTTGTGAGAGGGCCAGCTGAAATGGCTGGTGGGTGGCTCGAGGGCCCACCAGAGGCGAATTAGTGTGGGAAGAAAGCCTTGGGATTAGAAGCCAGGGTACCTAAGGCCAGGCCTAATAGTGTCCTTGGGATCTTGGACAAATTATTTAATGTCTGCTTCAGTGGTAAAGTGAAGATAATAGTATGTGCTCTGCTTCTACTTCATAGTATGGTTATATTATAAAGTATAAAATGTGAGATGTATATAAAATTTTGTACTTTAAAGGGTAAGGAATAATTCATAAAAGCCAACATTGCCATTGTTTGGCAGAATGAAAGGCCCTTTTAGCTGTTGGTTTCAGTATGCTATTGTTTTGGAGTCAGTCCATTTTTAGAAGAATACAATTTCCTGTCTTGGGTCATTGACCCTTTCAATAGTAACTAAAGAAAATAACAGTTAAGTTCAATTATATAGTAGTTCTATAATAGTAGAGCTCAGTGGAAATTAAATCATATGCAGTAACTGACTCATGCGGGTTCATTGTATTAATATTTTTCATTTCCCTACAAAGTCTGTTTTATGTTATTTATAGCTTCCTATTTATAGAGACAACGGCAGCACACTAGAGAATATTCGTGGCAGCAATTTGTAAGAACCACCTTCCAGCATCATCCCAAGCCCTGTTACAATCCTTTTCCACAAAATTGTTGAGATTATATAGTATGTATTACAAAAAGAATGTTTTTTCATATATTTGAAACTTTATAATAAAGTTAACCAGAATTAAGGGGAAATAATTCTAATTAGAATAAAATGCCACTATCTGAAGAGACCTGATAGTAAGCTTGTTGTGGTGACGTCCGGGTCGGGATTCAATGTGGTAAACCTGGGTAGTGAAATAGAAAAGATCCAGAGATGAATTGCTATAGAATACCTTGCTGGCCTAACAGCTGCCTGCTTGCACCCAGATCGCTGAGCAGATAATACTAAGGCATTATCTGACTGTCAGCTTAGCAGTCAAGAAGGACATTCATTTGGGGTAGAATAACAAACCAGGTCATCTGGGGATGCACACCTACGTTTATTCAGCACCTACTACATACCATGTTGTTTTGTTAGAATATGTCCTACACAAAATAGATCTATATTTACTTATACATTTATAACTAAATCACACTCTAATAATTAAAAAAGCCAATGAAAGTTTATAGTGCATTTTGTTTTCATAAATTCTTTTGAGGATAAACCTCAAAACACTTTTGTTAAAAAGATACGTATCTCTGAAGGGTTGTATCCAGTCTTCTTTTCTGGTATATTGAAGTCTAAAAGAATTGAAATCTCCTTTAACCATTTAAGAATTTTTAAATTTGGTGTGAGTCCAGTGAAAATCCAACAGAGTTTTTCTTAATGAACTTGACAAACTGACAGTAGAATTAATTTGAAAGAGAAAATGTGTGAAAATAGCCAGGAAATTTGAAAAAAGACCAGTGGAGACAAGATGGAGAATCATAAAAGGAATTGAAGAGAGTAATCGGTTGTTAGATTCCTACTTTTCACTGTATAAAAAAAATTGAATGGATTAAAGAGCTAAAGATAAACTGTAAGCTAAATATAAACTATGAAAGTGACATATGAGAATTTTATTTTTACCATCCTTGGGATAAGAAGATATATCTGAGAACTGTAAAGAAAGTGATTGATAAATTTGACTTCATAAAAAATTAAAATGTCATAGGACCAAAAAACACCAAGTTGAAACAAAATTGACAAACAATAGATTGGGTGAAAGTATTTGCTACATAAGTAAAAGCCAGAGATGTAATGCTCGTATATAGCATGCTTACAGATCAGTAAGAAAATTATTAATTAATCTGCAGGAAAACAGTCAAAGGATTTGAACAAGATGAATGGCAAATAAACAAGAAGATTCCCAGCCTCACTAATAATTTGGGGGAGGCTAATCAAACCAGTGAAATATTTTTCACCCATGTGATGTAGAAAAATTAAAAAGCTTGTGAATATTTGTTGCAAAAGATATGATTAACAAGTTGGAGGGCACATAAGTCAATATAGGTCGTTTTGTTTATTGGCTCAACTTGGTACCATAAACACCCTTCAAACCAGTGATTCCAATTCTAAGTTTCTATCCTAGCAATCTACATACATAAGTTTAAGCTTGTTTTAAATAAGAGCTTGGAAATAACCTTAAAGTACTTTAGTATAAGGTTAAATAAACTAGGAAACACCTGTATTAAGGAATAATACATCTAGTTATAAAGAATAAAGTAGATTTATGTGTAAATTTATTTCATGAAAATAACTCCAGTATATACTATTAAGCAAAAACAAACAAACAAAAACCAACAAAAAGTAAGTTGCAGAATAACATATACAACATGCTCTTACTTATGTTAAAAAACACCTCCCTAAACCATCTATTTAAAAATGTGTGTGCATTGTACACATGTATTATATGTAAATTCACAAACAAAGATTTAAAAGAATATGCGCCCATCAAACTGACAGTGGTGCCTCTAGGGAGAGGTTGGAGCTAGAGAAAGAGGAAGTGAGACAAGCCTCTTTTTAAAAAAAAAAGAAAAAATTCTGTATCCTTTGTTTGTGTTTGAAACTTTTTACAGGAATATACCCATGTATTATTTGTAAAGTTATACAATTTAAAGCAAATAAATACAAAACAAGAGGCTAAGGGTACCGGATTACTTTCTGAAGTTTTTGTTTAACATGTCCATTATTTTTACTCATGCCACTGTAGAAAGACAATGGCTGTTTTTATCTGTGTAAATTAGCATAGAAGAGTACACAGCAAACACTAATAGCGTTACCTTCTTGGGCAGGGTACATCCTCCGTATGTTTATGTATTATTTTAACTTTCTTCAGTGAGCACATATCATTTTTATTACTTAAAAAATTAAGAGCAAAGGACCCTCTTTTGTTATTGAGCTTTTCCCTCTTTTCTATTTCTCAGCAAAGGAGGGCATATGGACATAAATCATCTCGGGTACCCGGAGGTTCAGTTCATTTTCTCCTGTCCTGACCTTGCATAAACCTTGCCTGTCTGTCCCGAAGGCAGCCACCATGAGTGCCCTCTGTTCTCAGCAGAGCCATGGACACCTAGGCTGTGACGGGGAAAGACCCACTTCCCCTGACTGGCTGGAGGCATCCAGCAGCAGTTCAGGATAGCCGTCTTACACTTGGTAACTTGCCTGTCTCATCCACTTAGGATGTTTACAAGCCTCGCCGGAAATACAAACGCCAACAGGGAGCAGAGGAGCTGCTTGATGAAGAATCTCGAGTCCATGCTACACTTTTGGAATATGGCAGGTAATGAATGAGGCCCAGTCTAGGTGTCTATTTTATAAACCCATTTAAAAGAAAAGCTCATTTAAATTATTTCTTTTGAATTAACTTGTTTGGATTCTACCTGATTCAACTTACTGTTTTCAGCCATGAGATTTCTAATATCAGGGACTTTTTTTCCAGTATTGAATTACCTGAGTTTTTGTGGGTAACCTTTGCGATTCCTCTCTGGAAATGTGTACTTGGCTCTACCCCCCCGGGGATTTGGGGAGGTTGAGGCATTTGCAGAGGCTGGGGTGGTCTGCCCGTCGTGCCCCTGCTATTTGTTATTCATAAAATCTTTAGGTAAATAAAAGAAATGAAAGCAGTTTCAGTAGTTTTACTTAAAATGTTAGAATAATCATTCAGGTTTTCTGTGAAGATTGTCCTGACTAGGAAAATGAAAAATTTAGAAGTAGTTTTGTCACTTCTTAAAAACATCTTAGTTTTTTAAAGACAATACTTATTTTATATCTTCAGTTTTTACTTAAAAAAAAAACAAAACACAAGGACATGCTTCTCCCCATTGAATTTTTTGGTTGACACTGAGTAGTAACCTTTTATGTTCTGCATTCTTCACTCAGGGTAACCGATTCCTTGATGTGAGTATGTCTGCTCGTGCTTCCTTTGTGCTGGGAGTGGCTCCTGTGTGCTGCTCTGCCTCACAACCCAAACCTTACTGGGTGGCTGGAACTAACCGCTACTAGCATCTCCCTGAGTGAGCAGCAGATGGCTTCCCCTCCAGGGTACTGGAGAGAACCAGAAGGAAATTAGGCGTAACTGTACTAGTTTTCAAATGGAAAATGCAAACGCTTTTTTTTTGAAGTGATAGTTTGGGGTCTTTTCTTCCTAAGAGTAAAAACTAGTCTGTTTCAAAGGAAGTTGAGGTGGTTCTGGCCCTAGGCTGGGTGTGATGGCTTTCCCCACAGCTCACCAGTTGCTTCTGTGAATTGAACGTCTCCTCTGAGTCAGGCATCACCAGGACTAGCTGCATAATTTGTGGAGCCCAGTACAAAATGAAAATGCAAGGCCACCCGTTAACAATTATTAATAATGATTCATTGTTAAGAATTTCAAGACAACAACCAGCAAGTCCAAGACCTTTCCTTCTAACCATGGGCCCTTGTGCGATTGGATGGGTTGCATGCTCTCAAAGCTGGCCCCCGGGGCACCATAATGTGGTCTGTCCAGCCAAGTCCCAGCTGCAAGTGAGCAGGTGAGGCATGGCTCCAGGGCAGCCAGAGCTGGAGAGACCATCTCCGTGGGTGTTGCAGCTCCCAGAACCAAGGAGTACTTAGGGGAATGTAGTGGTTTTGTTAATTTATATTGTTCATACCTCCATTTTTTCCGTTATTGTGGAAAATCAGATGTCTCTGAGGATGAGAAGGAGTCACAGATTCAGTAAATTACCTGCCTCACTGAGATCATGCTGACAATATTTTGTTCTGAAATTCTCAGCTTTGAATTGGATCTTTTGCATATGTGTTGTAGATGGCAGTCATTATCACCATGTGAAGGCTGGTTAAATTTGGAACATCCTTGCCCATCCTCAGAAGTGGTTAGTGCAGTTTGAGGCCAGAATCTGGCTTGGCACTCTTTAGGGAAGGGGGAGAAAGGCACGGGTTTTGTTTCTCCTCTCAAATTCTGAGTGTGAGAAATAACAGTGTCTTGCTAACAATCTTAGTTTCCTGTCGGTGGGGTCATGCTGACTTCTGCTAATTTCTGAGGCTAGGGAAGGTATTTGGTAAAGGTTTTAGGTTTTTGTTTGGGTTTTTTTTTTGTTTTTAGGAGAAGGGGCTATTTCATTTTCTTTTTAGCTTTTCTGGCAGGGAGAGGGGAAGTTTGTGACAGGTGGGGTAGTGGATATTTAGGATATTCTGATAGTTTATTTAGCTCGTTTTCCTCTTAAGATTAATAATGACAGCATTCAGAAAGGCTGAATAATAACTTGCTCAAGGTCATAGAACTACTAAGAGGCTCAAAGTGGGTCTTGAATTCAGATTTCTTGAACTCCAAAAGCATGTCATTATCATTATCTGCAAATATTGTTTGAGCCTTCAGTGAGAGTATATTTTTAGGCTCTGGGCTTTAGAAAGACAGGCCAGGTCTTTGCTGTTTGTTCTGAGACTGAACAAGAAGAGAGTGATTATTAAAACTGACAGAGCCAATTGTATAAAACTTAAAGCTGCAACAAATGTGTGCTTTATTCCCCCTCACTGGGAAGGCCTCTCCCTTCCTTTCTGGCCGTCTGATTCTTTCCTCTAGGTTCTGTTCAATAATCCCGACTGCATGGAGATATCTCCTATAAAATGGAGATTATGTAACAGTATGTATATAAGGAATTTTGAACAGTTTGATGTAGAAAACACTCAGTTTTCTACTGTCATCCTTGTCCTTGTCATCATCATTATTCGCAGCAGCAGTCTTCACTTCACAAATGCCCTTAAATATGACCCTTTCTCAGTTCTCCTTATTGTCCCTATGTTCTCCTGTGGCGGTGAAGAGGGGAAGCCTCCCCTTGGCCCTTTGAAGGTTCACTGAAAATGAACTGGCAAAAGGTAGAGTAGCAGGATAAGAGGGCTTACAAAATTTATGCACATGCATGGGGGAAAATCACAGAAGTGTAATTACCCAGGAACCCAGTGATGGCCACAAGGCCAGCCTTCTTCACAGGGGAAAGGGAGATGGGGAAATGTGGCATCTGAGGGGTAGTAAATGATTTGTAGGGGGAATGAATGTGCTTCATGCTCAGATGATGAGATGATATAAGTAAATGACTGAAAATTAAATGGGATGGAGAACAGACAATGGTTTGGGTTCTAGGTGTGGTATTTAATTTTCAGTCTCTTGTTCTATGATAGATAATGAGATTTCAGGGAGGAAGTGGAAGGGAATCGTGTTCCCTTTGACAGGTCCAGTCTTTATGCAAATAAGGGAAAAAAACCTCTTCCAGCATCTGCTGGCCTTCAAGAGCCTTGAATTCAAAATATTCAGCATAACCAGCATGCCACATGTTGGGGTGACAGTCCCTGGACTCCTTTACTCATTAGCCCCAGCTCTAGCCCTCCCTCTGGCACGTGCATGGGAAGACTCACCCCTTCATCCGTTCTTCCCCCAGTCAATCAAGGCTGGCCCTTTGCTGGCCCTCAGACTCACTTTGCTCCACCCTCACTCTTCCCTCACCCTTGTGGCATTCCTGAATTCCTCATGCCCCTTACCACAGCGCACCTTCAGGAATCCACACCCACATGTGTTTCCAGTGTTCTGTTTCCTACCTCATCTTACCTCTTGACAAGGGAAAGTCCTTTGACTTCTAGAGCAAGAACATCTAAAGTCAGTGTTTCTTATTTGGGGTTGAAAGTCACTCATCGCCTTAAGCCCACAGTGCCCCTTGGCTTTGAGGTGGTCAGCATTCCAGCTTCTTCCCCTTTTTTGACTCTTCTCATTTGCTGAAATAAAACTGGACTTTGAGCCTAGTCAGTCATGCTGAAGGCCTTAAGGACTGTGTATCTGTTAAAAATGTGTTTGGGTATATTTTTCTAAATGCTATGGAGTTAGAAAAACAAGACTCATAGTTTTGATTTTAGACTTAAAATTACAGTCCTATAATATTTCAATTTTATTATCAGTCCAATCAATTTTTAGAGGCTAACTTATATACCTTACCATGCTATAAAACTGCTACTATGGGGAAATGTGTTTTATGTGCTGTGTATTTTACTTTCAAGTGGAAGTTTGAGGCACAACTACTAGGATACTGGTGTTCACCTATTACATAGTATTAGAGGCTTAATTTTGAGTTGCCTTGAAGTCATTCTGTGGTTAGCAAATGAAATATAACATGTGTCTCCCAACTTGTTTGTGTCTCCTATGATGGTAAGGCCCATGACATGCTCATAGAAGGTAGTTAGTGAATTCTTACTGAGTGAGCAAAGAACAGAGTTCACAGTCCTTAGTATTTAGGGCTTTTTATGCCCCTATTTTGTTCTGGATTCCAGATAGTTAGATAACTGTATTAATTTGGCCTGAGGCAGTTACCTTTGAAGGTTACTCTGTTTTCTAGAACTGTGATGTCCAGTGTGGTAGCCATTAACCATATGTGGCTAGTGTGGCTCAGGAACAGAATTTTAAATTTAATTAAGTTAAATTTAAATGTAAAAGCTCATTATTGATTTAGTTATTGGAAAATGTTTAAGTATGTTTGGAGTAACTTGGATATGTGAATTTACTAATTTAAAAAATTATATATGTGGCTCTTCTTTGTATTTCTTTTTTACTATGCCGTTGTACAAGATGTACATCCTTGATTGAAAGACCCAGTCCTAGGTCTAGGGTATGAAAAGTGAACCTGGGTGATGACAGGACCAGAGCTCTGTTGGTGCTGATGGTTCAGGGCAGCAAAAGTTGATGACTCA